GGAATATAAGACAGACACTGTTATTCTTTTTAACTTTAAAAAAAAAAAATATTTATTTTTTTCGGGACGCCAGAGTGGCTCAATGGGTTAAGCAGCTGCCTTCGGCTCAGGTCATGATCCCAATGTCCTGTCAAGTCCCCCATCAGGCTCCCTGCTCAGTGGGGCGCCCGCTTCTTTCTCTCCCTCTGCCACTCCCCTGCTTGTGCTCTCTCTCTCTGTGATAAAATCTTTAAAAAAATAAATAAATATTTATTTTTTAGAGAGAGAGAGCACATGCACCAAGAGCACCTGTATGTGCCCATGTGAGTGGGGGAGGGGCAGACGCACAGAGACTCAAGTGGACTCCAGGCTGAGCTCGGAGCAGAAGCTGGATGCAAGACTCCATTTCAAGACCCATGAGGTCACAACCTGAGCTGAAACCAAGAGTCCAACACTTAACCAACTGAGCCATCCAGGCACACCTCACTGTTATCCTTTGAACTATATCCAGTTTGCCTTCAGATAATTGATACTCATGCCTTCCTAAAATGTAATAATCTGATTGGTTATGCAATAAGCACGTGAACCCCAAAACCTATTAAAAAAAAGATCATGCTACAGCCTAGAATTTTATTAGATGATGCTTCTCCAGTTTTCTTATATATTCTGGAGTTGGCTTCTTCCTTCTTGTATCAATTAGCTTTTACTTTTCTTTGATGACATGACAGCTCCTTTTTCCCCTCCCCCCAAATTAAAATTAATTATACTCTTTCAAAGAGTTTTCTATTACCTTTCATTTTTGACATCCTACTTAACTGTAGTCTTCAAGAAATCAATGAATATATTAATTGGAATTAGACTTGGCACCTGTCTCTAAGGAACTCAATAGTTCTCTGTAGCCTTAGATGGAATGTTTAATAACTTCAAGGTATTTTTTAAAAAGCCAACTGTGTATCTTTAAGTTATTCCTTCAAACCCATGTTTTTATGAGTTTCCAGATAGAGAAACAAGGGTATAATAAAATGACGAAAATTAAAAGCATTAAAACATTTATAAAAACCTAACAAGTTAATGATTATAATAAAAAGATATTAAACAACTAGCTTAGGTAATATAAACACAAAAGAACAGTGCATTTCTTTTCAGTCGTTAAGACTCAATTTGAGGGGCAAAAGAACTAGGAAAAGATGGTGCTAAAGCAGGTAGACCATAGATATTCAAGAAATTTGGTCTTTTTCTGTTCCTAAAATTCAGAGCATTTCCTTTTTCTTTATAGTTCCAAATGAGTCAGGCAAAAAAAATCTCGTATTAGACTAAAACTAATAATAATCAGATAAAGAACAAATGATAGTTCTGAAAGACTGAGTTTGAATTCTCACTCTTATCCTTTGATAGCTCTACGACTTTTATCTTTTTGAGTTTCAGTTTCCACATCTGAAACACAGGTATAACACCACTAAACATAACAGGGTTGGCAAGATTTAAAATAAAGGCATGTAATATTTGTAAGGTGCCTGGCTCATAGTAGGCCCTCAAAAAGGTTTATGGACCGTCTTTTCCCCTCTTCCCTGACCCTGCTGGAAATTAAATTTGACAGATAAGTAGTATTCTCTTCACTGTCAAAGTTACTGTAGTGAGAAAAAGATAGAAATAACTAAATGGAGGGGAATTTGGGTGGCCTAGTCCACTGAGCATCCAACTCTTGAGTTTCGGCTCAGGTCGTGGCATCGGGCCCTGTGTTAGGCTCTGTGCTCAGCATGGAGTCTCCTTCAGACTCTCTCTCTCTCTCTCCCTCTGCTGCTGCAACCCCAAAAATAAGTAAATAAATCTTAAAAGAAAAAAAAAAACAACAACTAAATGGAATAGTAACTTTCCTGGATCTGAAATTTTAAAGTAAATAAGTTATGAAATAAATCTAGTAAGAGGTAAATGGGTTGCCTGGATGACTCAATTGTTAAGCGGCTGCCTTCGGCTCGGGTCATGATCCCAGGGTCCTGGGATCAAGCCCACGTTAGGCTCTCTGCTCGGTGGGAACCTGCTCCTCCCTCTCCCATTCCCCCTGCTTGTGTTCCCTCTCTCACTGTCTCTGGCAAATAAATAATAAATAAATAAATAAAATCTTTTAAAAAATTAGTAAGAGGTAAATAGAATGATGGGATTATAAAAACCTATAAGAAAGTTAAGATATTATTAATTATTTCCATTTTCCTCTTGGCTATGATTATGAGATTATGTTTCCTATTCAGTGAAGGGAGAAACTAACCAAGCTTTGAAAAGTGGTATCAAAAGTGTTTCATAGGGGCGCCTGGGTGGCTCAGTGGGTTAAAGCCTCTGCCTTCGGCTCAGGTCATGATCCCGGGGTCCTGGGATCGAGCCCCGCATCGGGCTGTCTGCTCCGCGGGGAGCCTGCTTCCTCCTCTCTCTCTCTCTCTCTGCCTGCCTCTCTGCCTACTTGTGATCTCTGCCTGTCAAGTGAATAAATAAAATCTTAAAAAAAAAAAAAGTGTTTCATAAAAACAAAAATTTGCTTCCATTTTACAAAAGTTTTATCGATAAAAGTATTTCAAGAAAGGGCCTTTCAGTCATTCGAGATGACCCATTTACGTGCATCATATATGCCAACTGCCATACTAAGTGACAGAGGATATACAGAGAAGATAAAAAGAATACTATTAAAAGTATAGGACAGGTCATGTGGCATCAGGCATATCACTGTATTAGTCTGCTAGGGCTGCCATAACAAAATACCTAGAGCTCGGTGACAACAGAAATTTATTTTTTCACAGTTCTGGAGGCTGCAGGTCTAAGATCAAGGCATAGGCAGAGCAGGTTTCCTCTGTGGCTTCTCTCCTTGCCGTGCAGTTGGCTACCCTCTTGCTATCTCTTCACATGGCTGTCCCTTTGTGCATGGCACCACTGGTCTCTGTGACCCTAAATTTCCTTTTCTTACAAAGACATCCGTAGAACTGGGTTAGGGCCCACTCTAATGGCCTCATTTTAACTCACCTCTTTAAGGACTTTATTTCCAAATATGGTCAGATACTGCGGTACTGGGGGTAAGGGCTTCAAAATAAAAATTCTGGGGGAACAGAATCCAGTGCATAAGAAACATGATCTCACTTAACCACTGTCCTGTTTTACAAATGTGGAGCTAGGCTCTAAGAGAGTAAATAACTCAACAAATGTCACATAGCAAGTAAATGGTGGAAACAAAATTTTAACTCCGGTCTCATTATGAGAGCACCAAAGGTATGTTTTTTTCTTTTAGTCACACCTCCTCAAGGAATTACAAATCTGATTGGAAAGACAAAGCACCGATTCACGAAACTATAAAATATGGGGGTTAGTGATAAAGAGGCATTTATTCACTGGACTTGTACCATCACATGGAAAGAATGGATTCAGGACTAATAGACATTTATAGAATATTTATTACATGTTAGGCTGGGCTCTTTCACAAGAGTCTACTGATGCCCTTTCATGAAGAATTGCTGAATGGCAAGGAATAGTTTTTGGTAGTCTTGGACCAAAGCCAATGTCAAAATACAAGAGAGCTTTCTGTAGTAAGTTATCTTACACACAACTGTCTTTCAGATCTTTTTTTTCCTACACTTGAGTGTAGGCTCTGTGCTGGTCCACATGTATGAAACCCCTAATCTGCTTTATAATACTCTACCTCATTGACAATCTACCTCATTGACAATCTTAGGGGACTTCCAACTCTACAACATCTCAAAGTGAAAGACAGAAAAGTCCCCTGCTGTGTCTCTTAAGAGTCCCACCTGTGTGTCCATGAATGAGTGTCAGGCTAGACTGTGTGTAAATATGTCTGTGTGTGTGTGTGTGTGTGTGTGTGTGTACACACACACATATGCATATACATACACACACATACATAGCACTAACCATTTATTATAGGGGCCAAGAACTGCCCTCAAGAAGTCTGATAATTTGTTGTTTTGTTTTTTTTTGAGGTAAGTTCTTTGGATATCAATTATACCATTTTCAGAAAACAAGTACAAAAGCACATTTCAAAGTTTGATTTGATTTTTTGTATTATCCATACTTCGTTCCTAGAGTAGGAACATTCAGTGGTGTTCTTACCAATAATGAGAATTCAGTTGTGATTTTTCAAATTGTCTCAATGGAGTTAAGTGGGTGGAAGAGGTGGGAGTACCTTATCAGAATCTTAGAGAAAAATGGAAAAGCAGATAAAGAATATACATAGTTTAAAAAACAAAGCAGTGCTTTTCTCCAGTATTTTCATGTTTTCAAATTTCAAATAATATTAAAAATGTTTAAAAAAAAAGAAGTTGAGAAACACCAAGGTGTGGGAATTTTCAAAACTCTGAAGATCAGATTTCATTTTTTCCAGGAAAAAAAGTGTCTTAGGAGGCATTTAGTGAATGTTCTGAATATAATAGACTTAGTAGCCAATTAACCCAAAATACACTTAATTCATTAAATATACACATAGAGAAAGGCAATACTCTCACAGAGTTGTATCTAGGAAGTCAACAGCATGATGGTTTAAACTGTAGGTGGAAAAGTAAATCTCCAAACACAGTATGACATTTCTGCAACTTTGAGCACGGATATTTTTATTCTGCCATTTTTGTGTTTCCAGTTGTTTTTAGCTTTGTAAGCTTTCAAGGAAAGATCTACTTATTATCCCCCCTCAACTCTACCTCCCGGTGCCTTCTATGAAATAAACATAAAACTGGGGATACGTGCTCAAGTTGAGAACTACTCTTACCCCTGAATTTCTTTTTCCTCAAGCTGAGTATCCAAAGACAACTAAGATTTTCAATTTAGGCTTTTTTGGTCTTCAGTCCCAGAACCACCTACCTCCAAACATCTTCACAGAATGTAGTATTTCCTATCTGCTGTCAGGTTCGAACCAATCAGTTCTCACAGCTAGAGATAGATTGAACGAATGTCTATAGTGCATGCCCTCCCCACCCAGGGGCTCTATGTGCTTCCATGATGCCCTATTCCCCTGAAGTCCAAGGAATACCTACCTCTAGTTTCAGAACATCGTGCTGAAGTTTACGCTGAAATTCAAGGAAGTTTTTGATCGTCAGCTTCCCCTTAAGATCAGCTCCAAAGAAGTAGGTCGTAAGGGCTGAACACAAGCCAGACTTGAGGGTGTTACCAGTAGTAGGACGATCTCTGTGACGCATACCCATACTGGTTTGGGAGCGGATGATGCTCTGAACCTGGAGAAGAAGCAAAGCCCCATTCAGGAAAACATTACAAAGTACAAAAGTATAAAAAAGTAAGAACAATAACTGACTACTGATTATTATTTGCCTACATGGTGCTACGATTCTCTTTTAATGCGCACAATCCTATTAAGTCTTACGATGGTCCTCATTTTACAGATGAGGAATTTGAGGCAGAGTGTTTAATAACTTGTTCAAGGTCAAGTAGCTAGCAAGTAGCAGAACCAGGATTTTAACAGAGACACCTGACACCGTTGTAACTGAGATGCTCTTAAAAATCTCTCTTCAGAGAAGAGCATGCATTTGTGTTTGAGGCTCAAAACCTCTCACAAAACACTAAAATAATCATCAACCTCTCAGTAATACATTCCGTATCTCAGGAGACTTTTCATACTTCTAACTACTGACTCTCTAGTTATGACAAGAGGTAGCATAGCTCTAGGCAAATACTGACATCTAAGAGAGATAACACATTTATTAGAATGACAAATTTTTAAAATAGATTTTATTTATTTATTTGAGAGAGAGAGAGAAAGAGCATGAGAGGGAGGAGGGGCAAAGGGAGAAGCAGACTCCCACTGAGACAGGAGCCTGACACGGGGCTTGATCCAGGGATTCCGGGATCATGACCTGAGCCAAAGGTCCCGAGCCAAAGGCAGATGCTCAACGGACTGAGACACCAGGTGCCCCTAGAATAATAAATTAAATACAAAGTTGGTATGAGATAATTTCCCAAGAAATTAATTTAGTCCTTGAGAAGTTTTATTTTTATTATTATTATTTTTAAAAGATTTATTTATTTGAAGGGTGCCTGGGTGACTCAGTCAGTTGAGGTTGAGTGTCTGCCTTTGGCTCGGGTCATGATCCCAGCGTCCTGGGACTGATTCCTGCATCAGGCTCCCTGCTCAGTGGGGAACCTGCTTCTCTTTCTTGAGTGGTGGCTCAGTGGGTTAAGCCTCTGCCTTCAACTCAGATCATGATGTCAGGGTCCTGGGACTGAGCCCCCCATCAGGCTCTCTGCTCAGCAGGGAGCCTGCTTCTCCCTCTGCCTGCCACTCCCCGTTTGTGTATGCTTGCTCTCCCTCTCTCTCTCTGAAAAATAAATAAATAAAAATCCTTTAAAAAAAAAGGACTTTAATAATTAAATTGAATACAGGATAATCAGAACATTTTTTGTTCTTGTTTTGAACACAATACACAATTCATTTTATCTACTTAACTGTGAGTACTGAAGAATTTTCACTAACAGTGAACCAGTACTGAGAACCTACCATGATTTATATTTTGCCTGTGGCTGTAAATATTGCAGCTTATATCCTTCCTATGGTGGACACCGTGTGTTAAGCCTCAAGTGTGTGGTGCTGGGAATTTGTGTGGGTAAGTGACTGGGAAAAAGTGTTTAGGGAAAATTAACTACTCATGCAGTATGGTCTTCATTAGTGATTAATAATCACATAGTCTCAATACTACTGCATTATATAGAAACTACTATTTATAATAAGCACTCTTTAAAAACTTTGAAAAATATCTTTTTTTTTTAAGATTTTATTTATTTATTTGACAGAGAGAGAGAGAGCAAGAGAGGGGACACAAGCAGGGGTGAGTTGGAGAGGGAGAAGCAGGCTTCCCACTGAGCAGGGAGCCCGATGTGGGGCTTGATCCCAGGACAGTGGGATCATGATCTGAGCTGAAGGCAGATGCTTAATAACTGAGCCACACAGGTGCCCCTCTTTTTTTTTTTTTTTTTAAGATTTTATTTATTATTTGAGAGAAAGCATGCATGAGCACAAGTGGGGAGGAAGCAGAGGGTGATAGAAAAGCAGGGAGCGTGACAAAGGACTCAATTCTGAGACCTGGGATCATGACCTGAGCCAAAGGCAGAAGCTTAACCAATGAGTCACCCAGGATCCCCAATATTTTCTTAAAATATTTTATGTAGATAATTTGTTAAGGGTATAACATGAGAATCGATCAAAACATCAATTCAACTAGTCATGTGAATGCTTACTACATGCTTTATGCTGTGGAGAAAATCAAAAGAAATATAAAACATGATTTCTGAAATAAAATTTCATTCTTCTATCTCAAAAATGAGTTATTATTTCTCATACTTTCATACTAAAAAAAATTTCTGTCATGGCATTGGGTGAAAGGAGCCCAAACAATTATGAGGGTTGGTTTTTTTTAAATTATCTTTTGCTACGATCTTTTGCTTTGATCTGCTATGAAATGGGTTAGAGAAAGGATCTGTGTGATAGAAAGGTCAGAGAAAACTCACACAAAGTATTAACAGTAGATTAATGCCTTTTAGTAATGTGTTTATGCATGATCAAAGTGATTTTAGAAAAAGATGAATCAAGGAATTAGCTATTAGTTTGCTTCATGCAACGTTAACTTTGAAATATGTGAGGTCCTCTTCCTGCTTCTGTTTAACTTTTTTTTATAAGCTTGATGAATACACTGTCAAGAAAACACCTGTTTACCTGGGAAGTAAGTGCAAAGTTTGAATGTTTGGAAACCTAGAGCACTGACAACTTAATAAATTCTTATATTTCCCAAGAATGTAAAATGTATAAAGATGAAGCAGAGAAACTTCTAAAGAGAGCCATTTGTTCATTAGCTACCTTATAATTATTTTTTTGTTTTTGGTCTAAAAGGCTTTTTACATCAAGATTCCTTGTGGTCGTCTACGGCCATACCACCCTGAACGCGCCCGATCTCGTCTGATCTCGGAAGCTAAGCAGGGTCGGGCCTGGTTAGTACTTGGATGGAAGATTCCTTGTGGTCAATATTAGACATTGTATCAGTTTAAGGTGCCCAATTATCAAGGGATCACATTAGATGAAATAGCACTCCCTTCTCTAACATCTGAATAGACATTTTTCCAAAGAAGACATAGAGATGGTCAACAGGTATGTGAAAAGTGCTCAGTGTCACTCAACATCAGGAAAATGAAAATCAAAATTATAACGAAATAACACCTCACACCTGGTAGAATGGCTATTATCAAAAGGACAAAAAATAACAAATGTTGGATAGGATGTGGAGAAAAGGGAACACTTGTGCACTATTGCTGGGAATGTAAATTGATGTGGCCACTATGGAAAACAGTATGGAGGTTCCCCTGAAAATTAAAAATAGAACTACCATATGATCCAGCAATTTCATTTCTGGGTATTTATAAGAAGGTAACAAAATCACTATTGCAAAGAGATACCTGCACCCATCCATGTTCATTGCAATATTATTTACAATAGCCAAGATATGGGAACATCAGTATCCACCAATGGATGGATGGATGGATGAAAATATATGTATGGATGTATGTGTATATATATGATGGAATATTATTCAGCCATAAAAAAGAAGACAATTCTGCCATTTGTGATAGCATGGATGGACCTTAAGGGCATTATGCTACATGAAATAAGTCAGAAAGAGAAGGACAAATACTGTATGATTTCATTTATAGATGGAATCTTTAAAAAAAAAAAAAAAAGGCCGAACTCATGCATACAAAGAAGATTGTTGGTTGACAGAGGTGGGGGGGGGTCCCCATGGGTGAAGGTCATCTAAAGGTATAAACTTCTAATTATAAGATAAATAAGTCCTGGGGATGTAATGTAGAGTATGGTGATTATAGTTCACTGTATTGTACTGTAAATTTGAAAGTTAAGAGAGTAGATCTAAAAAATTTTCATCAAAAGGAAAAAATTTATAACTGTGTGGTGATGGATGTTAACTAAACTTATTTTCACTTTGCAATATATTCACAGATCACATCATTATGTTCTACACCTAAAACTAATACAATGTTATGTCAATAATACCGCAATAAAAATAAAATTAAGTAGTTTTATATAAAATAAAATCCAGGGGTGAGTTGAATATGTGATGGGAATTAAAGATGCACTTGTGAGGCGCCTGGGTGGCTCAGTGGGTTAAGCCGCTGCCTTCGGCTCAGGTCATGGTCTCAGAGTCCTGGGATCGAGCCCCGCATCGGGCTCTCTGCTCAGCAGGGAGCCTGCTTCCTCCTCTCTCTGCCTGCTTGTGATCTCTCTGTCAAATAAATAAATAAAATCTTAAAAAAAAAAAAAAGATGCACTTGTGATGAACACAGGGTGAAATATGGAAGTGTTCAATCACTATACTGTACACCTGAAACTAATATCACATTGTACATTAACTGGAATTAAAATAAAAACTTGAAAAAAAAGAAAAATGGGGGCAGCAGGAGGAAATTCAGTGTTTCTAAAGTCCAAATGAATATAAACTATCCCCCATACTCCCCTAGATAAAATAAAAATTTAAAAATACCAAAATAAGTTCTACATGTAATCATTTGGCACAACCTGTCAATATTAGTAAAGTGCAGGATTATGGGAAAGTGAAAGTATTCGATGGAAACAGGGTGCAGATTTGAATAAATGTCTCCAGGTATTCAAAAATATTTGTCTCTGTGGATTTCTTACTTGAAGATGTACTGTACTTCTCCAATTTCCTTTTTGCTACATTCCTTATTTTAAATACAAAATGCTTTCTCCCATATATCCATACATATTTTGTTTTGAAGCCAGTCTGACAATCATAATCATTGCATCTACAGAGGTATCATGGCCCACCAATGATAGAAGTTTTATGGAAATGTAATCTCTTCCTAGGATTCATCAGAAACTGTACAACGTCTCTGGCTTAGACCTCCTACAGTCAAAGGCATGGTATCATGTTTCCTTCTCTTACAGAAATTCTTTCAAAACATCCTTATATTCTGAACTATATGGCAAAAAGCAGCTGTTTAATAAACATTGACTAAACACATGACTGAACAGCCATAATTTTTCCTCTCAGCATCATAGTCTAATCCATGTTAGAGAATCAGAAGAACTTTGACCTTAATCATATGCTCAAGTAATTCCTTATATTTAGAGTAAAAACAAACAAGACCCGCTTGTTAAAAGTGAGGATTTTTTTTTTTTAAATGACATATTTGCTACTTCAAAAATTGTATAGCATCTGAGTATGCTGACCAAGACCAAAATAACTCCAAGGCACATGAAAATGTATTAAATATTATTGTACTTAAAGAAACTTTCCAGGACAACTTGCCTGTTCAAATTCCTCCATATCTACTTCTCCATCTCCATTCAAGTCAAACATCTTGAAGGCGATTTCAAAATTTCTCTGAGGAGCTGCAAGCAGAAAGGAAGGAAAGGATAGGAGGGAAGGAGAAGAAGGAGAGGGGGAGAAAGAAAAGTATTTAGAAGGCATTGACTAAAAATAAAAAATCATCTCTTTAAGAAAAACAGATGGTTAGACACAAAGTATTATCAAGTCACAGAATGCCACTCTATTTATCTAGATTAATATGTAGTGATACCCCTTAAAACCAAAAGAGAAACTTGACTATGGCCAGTAAAGACAGCACTTGTCTCTTGAGTTTTAACACTAATCTCCTAAATAGTTCTGCTTTGCTTTATTAGAAACCATCCTCTTAACTCTGTATTAATGTTGCTCTGTTACTTAAATATAGCTTTATTTATCTGGGCATGAAAGTCTGCTTGGAGTGAGACATACTGCTGCAAAGAGGCTAAAACTCTAAGTCTTTGTCTTGCCTTTTTAAAACCAGCTAGGTTTGGGGGCACCTGGATGGCGAAGTCAGTTGAGCATCCGGCTCTTGGTTTTGGCTCAGATTGTGATTTCTGGGTTGTGGGACTGGACTGCATCGGATTCCAGACTCGGTTGGGAGTCTGCTTCTCTCTCTCTCCCTCTGCCCTTTTCCCCACTCTCTTTCGCTCTTTCTCTCACACACACGCTACCTCTTTCTAAAATACATGAATATATCTTAAAAAAAAAAACAAAACGCAGATAGATTTCTACTTTGGTCTTTCTAGTCTCTCCATTTTTAAGTGCAATCAGGAGTTCAGCAGATGTCATTCAGCCATCAGGTTACTATCTAAAGGCAGAAAAGCATACTGGTAGCTACATAGCCTCCTACTTCAACCATGTCAGCTGGGTATGCAAATCACTGAACAAAGTATATGTAAATGCTAAACTAAAGCTGAGTTTAAAAATAAAGTGAAAAATGCAAAGCTTGAGAAGATGCATGTATATATTTTCTTTCCCTTAACTGAATGGTAAAAACTCTTCAAGATGTCTTAGAGTTCCTAGATCAAGCAGTATACTATAAATATAATTAATATACTTGTATATTAGAATAAAATGTAATGTCCCTTCTTCCTTACCATGCTAAATATTCTGGTAAAGAAAACAAAGTTATTTACTTCCTTCCTTTGGTACTTCAAATTTATATAACTGTGGAGAATAAACCAAAATAAAACATCCTATATATGCTAATACTATTGAATTAAATTTTCAGTTAACACAACTTTTTTTTTTTTTTAATTTATTTGTCAGAGAGAGAGAGGGAGAGAGAGTGAGCACAGGCAGACAGAATGGCAGGCAGAGGCAGAGGGAGAAGCAGGCTCCCCGCTGAGCAAGGAGCCCGATGTGGGACTCGATCCCAGGACACTGGGATCATGACCTGAGCCGAAGGCAGCTACTTAACCAACTGAGCCACCCAGGCGTCCCTTAACACAACTTTTATTAAAAAATTTAAAGATTGTATGTAGACAAAAAAAGTAAAAAAGGCTTAGCACATTATCCACAGTTACAGAGAATCCATAGTCCCATCTTGCTCATGAACTTGTCAGTAGTAATACCTTGTAGGGTCAAATTCTATTTTCAGCCAGCTAGCCAGCAGCTAGGCTGGTGAGCTCCTAGTTTTTAGTGGCCTGGGTGAATCATGTGCTTGTCAGCTTCCAGCTGCCTGCCTTACTTGATAATGGCTTCCAACAGGTTTGAACTTCTTTATGTTACAAGTATAATTGTTGTAAAGGATATAGCTGGGGGTATTAGATTTTTGTATACTTACTGTCACTTCTTTAATTTTTCCTACTGGTCTGGGTGCTTTTACTGAAGAGTTACTATGCCAAGCACTGAGCTTGATAATGTAAAGCTTGATAATTATCTGATTTTGTATGCTCAACCCTGAAAAGCCATACATGCTAGCTCAAAATTGCATAGCTAGTATGTGGCAGAAATGGTAAGTGAACCTAGATCAACGATGACTCCAAAGACAATAAACTTTTTCATTATGCTCCATGGCATCCAATAGTAAGACAGTAGTTCTGAACAATAACAAACACATACTCTATTCTGGTATGTTTTAACCTAGAAAGACAAAAAACAAAACACGACTCACTGATTACATCAGTCTCTGCAATAGCTGAATTCTAAGCTGTTTATTTCAAGGACATAGCTGCCATAATAGAAACATTGCATATGCCACATTCATACGTTAGAATTGGCTGCATTAACTGGAAACCCACAGGCAATATTAGATTCTCAGGTTTGTCACCTGTTTTTAAGGATTCTGAATACGAATTGCTTTAGGCAGGTATGTATTCTCCTCTTCTTCCCTATTGTCTTACACGTGGACCACTTCATTCAAACACATTACTTGCCTATTCCTTGTAGATACCTGAGATTGTAACAACTGCAGAAAATATGAAGCTGCTGGAAGTTTTCAGCGGGGGAGTAGCACCATCAAACAGGCATTATAAATGATTTCTCTGGCTAAAGCGTGAATTGAAGGATGAGCTGGAAAAGAAGAACCAGCTTCAGAAAGATCATGCAAGCTCTCGTAAAGGTTGAAAATGTGAACTGAGGTGATAGCAGCGGTAACTGAGAGGAAGAAACACATTTGGAATAAGGAGGTGGAATTAAGCAACTTAATGATTAATTAGCTGTGAAGCGTTGAGAGTAAAAAAGGCTGACAGCATGACTGCCTTAGGCTACTTGGTAGCTTGCATGTCATTAACCAAGAGTTAAAACAGATGCAAAAGGTTTGAGAAATAAAAGGAATTCAGAGCCGACCCGCTGAATTAAGGGGTCCACAGCCTGTGTTCAGATGAAAACGCTGAGAGAGTGGGAAACAAGGGTCTATAGGTTCGACAAGAGGGTGGGTTTGGCAGTTGCGGGCACAAAGAGCCTGAAGTGGGGGTGCCCACAGAGAAGTGAGGGTTGAGGAGAAGGCGGAGGAAAGGATAGAATGCAGCTGGATGCCAATATTTAAGGTAAAAGGAAGGAGAAAGGAAGCAGTGACGGAGGACATGGCATCAGGAGGAATATAGACCTAGTGAACAGAAATAGGGAAAAACTTGGCAAAAGCCAGTAACTATGTTGAATTAGAGCTCAAGAATTAAAGCAGCATTCCCATTCCCTAGCTCTACTGATTACAGAGGGTGCGCAGAGTGCTTAAAATTTTAGCTTTATCATCATCTTTCATTCTTATTGTCCTGTGAGTTTTGTGAAGGCACAGTCATCATTTAAATGACAGAATGAGTTATTTCAGCAAATCATAGTTTATATGGCTTCCTACAACTAAGGTTAACTTCATTTTACCAAACAAAGCACATCCTGTACTTTCTTGAGCTTTCTATATCTCTTGATCCTGGCTTACTTTTGAACACAGGATTTGCTTTATACGGAGCTCTGCAGAGTGTTCATTGAAGTATGTGCACGGACACTACTCCAGAGGCTGAGCTTAGAGAGCGCCGGCCACGAAAAGGCAAGTCAGGGCAGTGGCCTTGCGCACTCTCAGTTAGGCCTTAACCAGTCTATCAGGAAAGATCCTTATAGGAGTAGTTCTTTCAGCCTATTCAGTCTTCATCTGCTGATCATGTTCTCTTGTACTTCCCTGTCTCCCTTTAAACGTAGGCTTCAGGATATAAAATATATTCACTTTTTTCTTCAAAGATTTATTTATTTATTTGAGAGAGAGGGAGAGAGCAGGGGGAAGGGCAAAGGGAGAGAATCCTGAAGCAGACTCCCCGCTGAGCATGGAGCCCGATGTGGGGCTCCATCCCAGGAACCCTGAGATCATGACCTGAGCCAAAATCAAGAGTTGGGTGCTCAACCAACTGAGCCACCCAGGTGTCCTCAGTGTAATTTTTAAATCTAGCTGTTCTGGAAAGCTTTAAGGTGTCCAGGGTTTCTGCTAACTCACAACGTATTTCCACAGAAAGGAACTGAGAGAGGAATTCTTTTGAATCCCAGGCTACTTACACAGTGAACAGTGAAGTTTTCCCCAACTGTGTTAACGACATAATCTACCTCCCGTACAATGATTTCCAAAATGATAGCATATGTTGGAACTGATTAAAACAGCAAGATTCTATACAAAATTCATTACTGTACAACTTTAACTCAAAATTCCATGACCATCTTTGCTACTAGGAAATGGAGATGCATTAGGTCTGTTCTAGCCTAGAATCTGTATTTATATTATTCAATGATTAACAGTAGTGATAACAATAATGACTCTAGATTGTTCCTGGAAGCACAGGAGATTTTTCTGCTCCCTTTCAGTAATAAGAAAAAAAGCAGCATCTTTGTCTATGTGTAGTAGGTCAAATAATCACAGCAACAACACTAACTGTCTCAAGACTCTCATGACTGTTTTCACTGTTTTTTTAATAGAAAAGGCACAAGACCAGGGCTCTAATTCTGGCTCTTCCAACAACATGAGTCATTATGCCTTGAAATTTTTTTTGGTAATACTGACAGAATAAACAAAAACATGAATAGCTTAGATTTTTATTTCCTGTCAGTTTGATTCTCCTACCACAGATTTCCTACCTGCACTATTCTTGTTTTAAAATGATGCTATAGGATAAATGAGGTAATTAATATGCAGTATCAGAGAACTCTGAATTAGGAAAAAACCCTTTAGATTATGAACAACCTCTATTTAATGACGAAGTTGCCTACTGAATTTGTAAGGATAATCACATAGCCTCTGATTATTTCTGAGAGAGAGAGGTCACCCACTTCTGAAGTCTAATAAGCACTGCTGGCTGTATTGAGTTTTTCTTCTCATACAGAATACAAATCTAATTTTGTGTAGCTCCTGCAAGCTATCCTAGCTTAACTTTCTACAGAGATAAAAACATAAATCTGCTTCCTCATCTCTATGATGGTCTTCTGAATACATAAAAACATATTATTTATCTCTATTAGGGTTTCTCAGAACTTTCTTACAAATTCAGCACTCAACAGCCCTCCCCTGGGATACTTCAGATGGCCAATGTCTCCCATGAATGCAGAATATCCTAAATGTAATTTAGGA